TTTTATATTTCTATTTATCACAAAACACAATCATTTATATCTAACAAAGTTTAAAAATATTATAATATTATTTTTATGCAATTTAATGGTTATAATATTATATAAATATAATATTATGTAAACAAACGAAATTTTCAATATCTTTGTTTTCGACCTCCCAATTAAAGTTATATGAGTACACGAAGTAATCAGACATAAAAATTCCAAACGCTGAAAGTGGTATGATCAAATAAAAAACAGAAATAAATGTAAGAAGGTTAAACAGTGCTTCCTCTCTTTTTCTGCTAACAAAGTGCGTAACAAAAACACATACAATTGTAAATATGAAAGACCCAAAATACAGCGGTATCAATGAGTAAAGAGAGTAGTACGTTTTGAGGTACATATTTTCGTCTTCGAAAAGTCCAAATCTAAAGTAATCGTTGTATTCTAACGCAACAATGAGAAATGATATAGACATTATCTATAAATTAATATTTTATTATATAATAAACAGTTATTTAAGTGGTTTTTACATTTCGGATATTAATTCATAATTTGAAATTTAATTGCGAAAATTGTTTAGATGCTTAAATATAATAAATAAACAAACGATATTAAATATCCAATACAACACATAAAAGTAACTTCTAGTCACTTTGGTATCTTTAATTTTGACATAGTCTTCGATTAATGCATCAATTATGTAAAATGGCATTTAGTTTTTGAAAAATATTCAGTTTGAATTCTTTAAATACCGTTTGTTGTCCGAAATTTATCAATTTTGAATGAAAATTATTAATGAAAAATTATTGTAAATTATATGATTTAAATGTTAATAAAAGCAATCAAAAACGAATTGACATTGGATTGGGTTAAAGTATATTTCAATAATTCATTCGATTTTACATTAAAATAATAATATGTTTTAAATTGATTATTAAATAATTATAAATGGTAATGGATCGTTAAAACCAATTATTCTAAAAATAAATAATCTCGAATGATTGTTATCTAAATTGTTGTTTTAGATCCATGATTTTTTGTTATTTAATTGTTATATATAATAACTTCATTTAGTATATATTTTAAATAAGTTATAAATTTTTTTATCATAACTTATAATAAATTGTATAATAATTCGATTATGAATCAAAGGAATATCAATTTGAGTTGATAATATTGTCTATTTTATAAAGTTTGTTTATTTAACAAAAAAATCCAAAAATTGTTAAAAAAAAAGAAATTAAAAAATCATAAAAACTTAGTAAAAATTATTAAAATATTAATTTGAAGTATTTTTTGGTTTTAATGATCCAAAATTGTTCGGAAGATGTTTTTAGACCGACTTTATACACTTTTATACAATTTAATTATAGTATTTTTTAATTGTCTTAAAACAAATAAAAATTATTAAAAGAAATAACTTAAAGTTAATTAAAAAGTAATTAAAATGATGAACACCAAAAGTATCACCATTTTAATATTTCCTTCGGAATACACAACATTACGATCGTTTTCTGTACTGCATTGTCCAAGTATTTTTACGTCGTAATTTCCTACGACTGTTTTACACTCGGAATCCGAATAATTAGTGATTGAAACCCTGTTATCTCCTGTTGAAACGTCATATTTAACGTAGTACCCTTCTGCACTAGAAATATTCTTATTGCATCCATCTGTGATCAAAAGTTCATGTGGATGAGCCTTTTCTTCTCCAAACTGACACCCAAGGAAGACTCCGTAGTCATAACGAACTAAAACGAATGAAGGAAGTTCATCGACTAATTTGTATGATGAAAAGATCGACGTCAAATTGGCATCGTCAATCATATGCTTGTCTTTACAAACACTTCCGGACTTCACTAAAGTCTTCCCATTGACATCTTCAAGAATGCGAAAATATGACGTGGGTGTCACAAAAATAGAAAGCAAATCCGAATAACACTTGTCGAGGGTGTATGATATATAATTGGAGCCCTCTTGGAGAATGCATAATTGTAAGAAGGGGAC